AACATTACAAGTTTACCTATGCAGGTACAGAGCCTTATCTTGTTTTTGCATCCTACCCCGCTGCGCATACCGGTAGCTCGAAGCGTTTGTTTCCCTACGAAAAAAGTGCTGCTACAATGGCCGTCCCGAAGAATACCCGGGCAATAAGGGTAGAAGGGAAATGGACCTGTTACCTTTATACCGTGCTAGGTATCTGTACCGGGTATTTGTCTAGTTTGTTGTATTCCTCGTTCTGCATTGTTTGGCTTCGGGTGACAATTTTAGTATAAGTTAGTTTCCAAGACTGCGGGGACGATTTCGGTCCCCCGGTTTTTTCTTGCGGCCCAAGTTCCTATCGTCAACGGAACGTTCCTTCCTTTTTTCGGATTTCACGGAACTCTGTTTTGGGTTTCAAGGCTGTCTGCGGTTCGCGGGGTGTGCGTGCCTCCGGTATCATATGTGCCCTATTCGGGCCCCTGTCGATTATCTGGTTCGCCAGTTCTCATATTTCCGTACGCCACTGGGGCCATCCCCCCCCTACTTGGCCCCTCCCCCGTTGGGCTCCGGGGTAGGACCACGGTACGGTAGTGCACGCCACCCCTTCACAGGGAGACCGAAGCCCACGGACATCATCCCGGTCTCCGAAAATCTGCTTCTACACCATCGCAATCTTCACTTCTGCCAAATACCCGGACTAAATTGCCGGTACCGGTACTTCTTCACCGAGCAGCACCCTCACCGCGGGCACACCCACTTTTTTTCCTCGGGATGTAATTCCCACCGCACACTGTGTGTTGACTGTAACGAATAAAAAGTGGTGATGTGGGGTTATCATGAGCCGAAGGGAATCGGCGCACATGTGAGGTCGGGGATGATAGCGATGGCGCCTTCGGGTGGGGATGGTGCGGCGGAGGGAGGGCACTGTACGCGTGTATAGTAATATGCTGTATTTCCCAGTGGAGAGAGTGGTGGGAGGGAGATATTGCAAAGGGGAGATGGTGGTTTGGTGAGAAGCATTTGCCTGGTGACTCGGTTTATTGCAGTGAAGGGATAGGCCGGGTGCTTGGGGGACGATTCACGGTGAGGTCGCCGTTCGTGGGTGGGCGTACCCATAGTATACTCCCTCGGGCAGGGGTATTAGTGGCATCGGGGGGGGGGGGTCGGAGTACCGTACAGTAGGTAGAAGGAGTGGGATGAACGGGAGGGGCAAGAGCGATAACCGAGGGGAAAAGCACGGTAGCGCCCACCCGAATCCAGCTGGAGGCGAGATAAAGGATGTCAAGGAAGCACTCGTGGGCATGCGGAAATCCCATTATCATCAACTCGAGGGGTTGGCCCGATTACCGAGTGAGGGTGTGTGATTGGAGAGTTGCCATGTCCCCAGGGTATAAAATACCGTTCTAGAAACTAATGCTCTTTCCCAATTCTCGTGTTTTCTGGTTAGACACAGATTCAGCGCTCACCGTACGTGCTTCCAGCAGAGCAAGATATACCGTCGTGGATTCTGGATGCGAGGATGAGATCTGGAATCAAAAATAGCTTGAGTCAAAAAGAAGAGAATTACAGTCCGGGCATTGACCTTGCAGAGGGGGTGCCAACCGCCTCTATAGTGCCCTTATATTGAAGGTCTAACAATACCAAAGCCGGCTCCCGTTCAAGCCTCGGCCGGACCGGTAACTGGACCTCACCCCCCATATTATACTTCTTTCGGAGTTTTGTCGTCAAAATAGGGTGGTTATGCCCTTGCAAGGGGTTCCTAATTGTGGTTGGGGGAGGGTCTCTCCTCAATTCTGTGGTTGAGAATGATATTACCCTTTCTCCCACTACATCCCTGGCTTTAGACATTTCCTCCCCTTGTTTTGGGTCTCCATGTGCACTGCTTCTTGGGGATCCACTACAGAACCGGCGTGGGTGGTGGGTTGGGAGAGCCAGGCTTCTATGATACAAACAGCCCTACGCAACGGATGCGGCCCCGAGCGGGAGGTAAAGTGTCTGCCTGACTTGATCCCGCTGAACCTCACACCGTGGCGCATTGTTATCCCGGACCTCCACTGCCGGATTCTTTCCGGAGACACGTAGAAATACACTTTACTATCCCGGATTTTGCAGGTTTTCGGAACGGATGGAAATTTGATCTCCAACACCTGCTGAGATATATTCAGTGCCCCAGGCTTTCACCATATCCTAGGCTAAAACCTAGCATCGCGCAGCTCAGAAAAAGTGGTGGATACCAGGAGCCCGCCTTGTGGGGGGCGCAGGCCAAATGTTCCCCCTCCCGTTTATCCTCTTCCGAATAATCCCCCCCATCACAATATCAGGGGAGCCTCCAACATACAGGCTACAGACTCCGGTTGATTCTTGCTAGTGGATATTTCGGACTTGAAGAGAACTTGGTAACCAAATAGGGAGGGAGAATCGTGTATCGAGTAGGGTACAGTACTACCAGACAGTCTATTGAAATTGTCAGCCTATTCCCCCATGTGTCTCACTTGCTGCCCAACCCCCCCATTTAGTCCTAATACGGAACAGCCGCTAGTTACAGTGCCGCTAGTCAGCTGTCACTCAATTTTTAATTTTTTTTTCCACACCAAAGATTTCATTCACAATTCTACCCCGGGATGTTTCATTGCCAAATAGCCCCACCCAGGATTTTTGCCACCCAGAGCGACGGAACGACACAGCAACATAATATGCAATGTCCAAAGTCCGGGAAGCCACGGATGATGCCCAGACAATCCCAACACAGCATGCATCACCACCAACCCAAGCAAAGCCCCACCCACCACCACCGGCTTCCCCGCTTCCCCCAGGATCAGAATCGGATTCAATCCCACTCCGTGCACCCGATCCCCAACTCGCCAGTAGGAACAGGAAAGAAAGAGAGAAAGAAAGAATTATCACCAGCGGAAAACGACATTATACAAAACCCCGAATAGAAACAACTTCCCTCACACTTCCACCGAAATTCCTCCCCGCCCCCCCGCGCGCTGGGGGGGTAATTACCACCAAAATATTCGGTACCTAAATATATAATATCATCCGCATATAATAATTACACCCGAACGGAGACGCGCTGGTGGATGAGTCTAGGTCGGACAAGATACGAGTAGGGATTTAAAAAAAAATCAAATCTGGCAGGCGCACAAATGAATGCAACCTCTACTACACTATTGTACAAGTACTATCGTACTTGTATGATAAAATTTGTAAGGCGCGTCTAGTTGCCATGCGAAAACAACCTTCGTTTTTTTTTTTGACCTCAATTTATGATACAGGCCTCAGCTGAGCTACCGCATACTCATTCGTATTTTGCTCTTCAGCGGCATGTCTTATCGACACCGAAAACTCGACGGTCAAAATGCAAACAATTAATTAGCTCTCAAAACGAAAGTATCATATCCAGAAAATGGAAAATGATCAAATTTTTTTTTTTTAAAAAAAGAGATCGCATCATGAAAAGCTCTTCAATAAATAACATACAGATACCGGTACTTTGACAACAACAACACCTTCACCTTCACCATCAACTAACTAGCAATAAAAGGTGAAAAGAAAAAAAAAATAGGAAAAATATGGATCTCAAAGCCCACATGTCAATAACTCCCCCTTTCCAATATTTCTATCACCATCTCATTCCGGTAACTTTTGGCCAAATCGGTCGGTCTTCCCAATACACACGGTACGCAGCACTATAGTCTACAGTAGAGTACAGTAGTCTAGAGTTTCCGACATGTATCTATTTGTCAACCAGACACCACAGACAGACTACGGTAGATACAGCACCGTAGCACCACTCGCGCCACCGGTAAATTATGCAAACTCCGAATGACTACACTCGCAGACTGCAACTTTTGTGTGTACCGGTATTTTGCGATTTTAAAAGGAGGGGCGACGACCGGATGCGTCCTGGATGAGAGTCTATAGACTAACGAGTCGATGGAGATCCGGCTATGATGGGATGGGATGGGATGGGATGAAAAACTCCACGCCACCACCTACCCTACCCTACCCTACCCTACCCTACTGTACTGCTCTACCCGGGATACCGTAAAATCCAACCGACAGCAATTCGAAAAATAGGATAAACTTTGTCTATCGTAGCGTCATCTGTTGTGCGACGAGGGCAGTGCTGTGCAGTGTACTAGTACGAGTACCGTACTGTATATAGTGTAGTGCGCCCGATAAATTCCCTAAAAGGTCCGGAATCGCGCTTCCACCGCAACGCTAGCCAGCCAGCGGGACTGGACTGGACTAGACTGGACCGCGCGGTAAAAGGTATGATGATGATGATGATGATGATGATGATGATAGAAGTATAAAGGTAAAAATAAAAATAAAAAGAGAAAAGTGCAGAGTAGAGCAGGGAGAAGTGAGGAAGCTATTGTACAGCAAAAAGGTGAAAGTTCGCGGACCTTGTCCAGCTAAAATATGGGTTTTCGCCCATCCATAACGAGGACGTAAAGGGTTGATGTCGAAGAAGGTGGGGGGGGGGGGGGGGTGATGAAGGGAAGAGGAGGTTCCGGTTTAATAATATTCCATTCAGGGAAATGGGGAGAATCCCATTTCACTGATCGTACCGTCGCCGGATTAAGCCCTCCTGGGGGGCCGTACAGTAACTGTATCGTTATCGCGCAGTACGAATACAACAGCACCTTCGAGCTGAATTTATGTAAAACCCCGCGAATCCCCCCCCACCTCCTATGGCGCCGACCGTGTTCGCATCGGTAGCTCTGGTTTCGTGAGTGATTGGTCGTGACGGACTGCACTGGCTCTGCGTGGCTGAGCACCGTTCCGCCTTCGCGCGGTAGAGTGCGATACGGTACAGCCAACAATTGTGATATGGTATGATGGGTTGTCACACCAGCTCATCTTGCTCCGCCCCGTTCGATTCAAGACCGAACATGCTCGCGAGCACACGCAGCTAGGGGTTGTGGGGAATGTGGAAATATTAAGCCATGGGGGAATCTGGCATGGCAGTATTGTAATATTACATCGGGGCTGGGATGGAGGGTAGGATATATCAAGATCAGGGAATATGTATGTACAGCGCATGCGTAGGTAAAAGGAAAACATTTAAAGAAAAGTTTTTTTAAAAAAGTGAATGGTGAATGGTGAAGTGAAAAAAAGAGGAAAAAAAGGCAATCGAAATAAATTATCCTCGTCAAGTTTTGTTGACAGAGTTTCGGGATTAGATTGGGGATATCCCCGCGACTTGATCCCCCCCCCCCCCCACCTCCCTCTAAGAAACGCCATCTCTTCCTTCCACCCGTCCTTCCATCTTGTACTTGCGTCTCATGCTCCGTTCATCATTTCATTTCAATCACAAGCTCAACTAGTGCAGTTCCACCGGCATGGTAGCTGGGTGCTTCGGCGGCGGCTCAGTGTACACGGGCGAAACGATCGGGGGGACCATGGCCTGGCCCTCGGGCACGTAGGTGTTTTGTGCCATCTGCCCTTGATACGCGGACATCTGACCATACTGCGGTTGCGACATGTACTGCTGCTGCTGGGGCGGAGGACTGTACGGTGGCTGCTGGTACGGCTGTTGTGGCGGATACTGTTGGGGCACAGGGACAGCACCATTAGGACCACGATTGTCCTTCCTCACGCAGAAGAAGAAGAGCAACGCTGCGATGATGGCTATTCCAGCCACGGATCCGATAGCGATACCTGCGATGGCGCCGGCGCTCAATTTGTCATCCGGGGGTGTTTCGGTGGGATACGGTGACATGGTCGTGCCCGTCCTGGTGGGCCAGGCGCCGGTCGAAGTTCTGCTGCGGCTGGCCACCGAGCGCGTGTTGGTCTCGTCGGCCGGTGCGGATTGGGACGCCGTGTTCTCCGTCAACGTGTCTGCGGTCGCCGTTATGGTCAGGACCGTGGCCGTTGACGAGCATGCTAGCCAGGTTCCGCCGCCACCAGCGATGACTTCGGTTGCGCAGAGGGGTGCGGTTGCGGCGCTGGTGGTTGGGAGTGTTAGCATGAGTGGTCTCGGGTGCTGAATAGAGGGGGAGTATTGTACCATGTGAAACATGGTTGTCCGGCACTACATCCAGTTTGCGTGAAATCAAAACATCTTCTTGAGACTGTTGGCATCACCATTGTAGTCCTGGAAAGCGGGCCCTTGTATATTAGACATGTTCGTTCGAACTGGTATAAAAAAAAACTGTAGTGGTAAAGGCGGGACGGGGGGGGCAAAACATACGAGTAACAGTCGATAAAGCTAGCGGCAGTGTAGCACGCATTACCGGTCAAACAACCCCCTGGCAGAGAACACAAGAGGACAACGATCAGAATATGGTACGTAGATAATCACTCGACTCGACATGGAATCGGGCCAAGCATTCAATATCAAACAAGTTCAGACTCACATCCAGCACCAGCATTGCAGCACCGAGTCGAAGCAAGACAACCCAAAACACCGCACGCCCTCGATCCGGCACTGCACTGAACGAATTGACGAGGCTGCATAGCGCGACGGTTATCCGCCTCGCGCTCCTCCATCGCTCCGAATAACCAGCTACCATGGACGCCGAGAACGCTGCCGAGCCCCAGCAAGGCCAGGAGAAGGGCCGAATTCCTCTGACGGAAACCCATGTTGGGGACAAGCGATGAGTTAGATTTTTTTGTCGAATTAATTTTCTTTCTTTCTCCCCTTCCACCAGCTCAGTTCAGCCCTCGGCAGGAGTTATCGACTAGGTAATGCTGCGATGGTGAGCTGCGGGAGCGAATCGACTGGGGAGGGAAAAGGAAAAGGAAAAAGAAAAGGGTCAGGAAGGAGGGAAAGAAAGAGAGAAAGAAGGAAGGGAGGGAGGGAGGAAGGGAAGGGTCCGAGAGAGGGGGGGGAGTAAAGGGGTTTTATTCTTTTTCGCTTGCTAGCCCGACCGAGTTGAGAGGCTGGTGGGCTACAGGAATGGTGCGGCACTGGTGTACGAGTATCAATCGCACGGGAGGGGGGTTGTGCAAGTACCGGTACCGTGATGTACGGCTTCTCGTTCGATAATGGATATGGGTATATGCATGTCACAAACTCAGCTAGCCAGCCGTCTGCCTCTCGCTCTCTCTCTTTCCCTCTCTCCTATCCCAACCAGGACCCCTTTGTTTCCGGTACAGTATCATACATCTACAGTACAGTATCTCCCATCGAGGCCTCCTTTAGCCACCGCAATCGTCTTGCGTCGTATTCGAGGGTCTAGCTGCATGGATCTGGACTGGTGGGCACATACGGTACTCGAGTACAAAAAGCAGAAATAAGTGGGTGCAGGTCGACAGCGACTGGCCTTCGCCTCCAATGCTCCTCAAAAAAGACGAGTCTCCACCCTTGGGAAGGCTTTCACGAATAGGGAGATGTCGGGGGTTTCTTTTCTTCTTTCAGACCAATTCGTTTGCAGGGGGCAGACGTGGGTTGAATGGTGCGGGAGGATAAAAAAAAAGAGAGATGCCAAGACTTTCATCATGTTTTCCTCTCACACGAGTTGCATGTGTAACCACACCTCCTGGTGCAACAATGCTTCGGTGCTCCAGTACTCGTAGAGGGATCAAGGTTCAAGCCACCACACCACACCGCCTTGTTGCACTCGAACAATCACGGGGAGCCCTTCATGTTTTGGGGGAAGAGTCAAGCAGTGTACGGTACTCGAGTAAGGAGACCGAGTACTCGTGTCGTTTCTGGAGAGTGCCCCTTCCTTCTCAATGGAGACATACGGTAGTCTGGATGGACAGCGAGCGACACTTCACGTCAACCGAGAAGAGACGGTTTGCAGGATTGGAGACTGCTCGACATTCAACTGGAAACGGTGGCTCCCGGTTGAGTTCAGCGGCAGGTCGACTGAAGCAACCCTCATCCCTGCTCGAGACGGCTGCAACCTTACAGTATGATTGGGCAAAAGTTCGCTAAGCTGAGCATGCAAAATTAGACTACCGTACGAGCGAGGGGTGCACAAAATCATTCCAACCACGGGGAAATTCGTGGTAACAGAGGGGAGAGCGAATTACCCCATTTGAACAGTCTATTTTGGTGCGCATTTTGCGGTGCTGCCTTCTGCTTGCCATCCATCCACTACCGTACTCGTACCGGCACTCGAACAACCCGCGGGCCCCTGTTTGATGTTCTTCCAGTGCTGTGTGGTCGATGTTGCCAGCCTTGCCCTTCTCCAAAAGCACTTTTGTCAGCCTCTCAGCCGCAAAGAACTAGTAGACAGCCGGTACAAGTACCAGTACCATCACAACCGCACCCTCCTCCGCTTTGTGGAGATTTGCCCCCGCTTGCGCTACCGTAGGCCTTTTTTTTGGTGTTCCGAATGACGAGGAGAAGGCGATTCGGTTATGATAACCAGTGCCACCGCAGCCACTTCTGTATGGTGATTTACGGAAACTACGGCCGTGGGAATCAGTGGTGCTTGTAAATTACGAGTACCGTACTAACACTGTAGCCCGCTCCTAACAGTCAGGTGGCTCACGCTCCGCTCATTTTTGAAATCACCGCGTGCCGCAAAACATAAAATCCACATGGATCGTACAAGTATGGTGTCGGCACCTTACGAGTAGAATCGACCCTCAGTGCCATCCGGGTCCAGGCACTAGTCCTAATGTAGTATTTGACCATACTGCTTTAGGCAATGTGTTGGTGTATTACTCAGCAAAACCTACTTTTCACACACAAGTGTCAACCTCCTCACTCCACCCAAATTTTGCCTCAACTTTAACAGCTATTATAGAAAGAACCACACCCCTTGGATGAAATCTGCTCTGTAAATGTGTTCTTCATATGTTTTAGGAGGATTATACAGAAGGAATAAGTAAAATAATGATATGTGACGTTGTTGTTGCCTGCCGAAAAGTTGGGAGAGTGCGGTTGTCGTGAGGGTTGATTCTAAGGTGCCGGCACCATACGTGGGGATGATACCGTGCCACGGCTTGAGCAATCCCCCCGTCAGTCGGGTCGAATTCGAAGCGAGAAGGGGGAGAGCAGAGGGGGGGTATAATATAGTACGAGTACTCGTACATGATAGCACTTGTAGATTCGAGCTGTCTGCTGACCCAAAGGGGCCAATCTGATGCCCTGGGGGCTTTCGGGAGCAAACAAAACGACAATTGTGAAGTTTTCCTGCCCCAACTTTCTCGGCGGTGACTGGAGACTACGCTTACCCCTCTCCTTGGCCCTCCCCTCCCTTCGAGCTGACAGCTGAATTCGGCCCAATGCCGAGACCGGCAGAGAGGATTAAAGGTGCGAGAAGGTGGGAAAGGTGGGTTCGACACCCGAGTTCACACCAATGAGTTTCAATCGCGGCAACTTTATTCGTCTCGGAAGCCACACCATCTCTGCAAGTTGTGGCTTTGAGTTGTGGCTTGGGTAGAGGTTTTTTCCATGATGGCGTGAACCGGGGTGACGAAACCACACCTCCCCCGTACCCGTACTCGAGCACAGCACTAGTACCGTACAGTTGTATTCGTACACCCTCCCGAACCATCTTCCCGTGTTCAAATGAGGGTGTTTTGGAGAAACGGTGGACCGGAGAACCTAACTAACGGTATTGAGCGGAACTACACCACGCATTCCTGCATGCCCAGCTTGTTTTGTTTGCTATGCATACCTTACCCCCTCTCCCTCCCCCTCCCCCACCCTGGGTGACCGACCATCTACACGAGTACGGGCACACACACACCAGCATCAGTTGATATGCCCCTCGATTAACCTTATATCGTTGGTGTGCGGCCATTGTCGACCCGCACCGCCCGAACTTGCTATCGCTTGAGCCTTCCTTTTGGCTTCCTAACTTGGGTGTGCGGTAGCGTTGAGATTCGGGGGTTCAAAGGAATGAGACTGGCTGCACGGGCTCTCTCATACCGCAGTGCTCGAGTAGAGATTACAGTATCCCGGTGTTAGTGGCGTGCCAGTACTTGTGTGCCGTACCCTGCTCAAGTACAATACTGACATCCCTTAGCTCGTCCTGTACTGCGCCCAAATGATCCCGTTTACTCGAGCACTCGATCACCAGTACGATGCTGCGCAAGTATAACGAAATCTGGAAAGTGTACCGGTACTCGTACTGTACCCTCTTTATTGGTAACGAGGTTTTAAGCTGGAACCTTATTCCACCGGATCCTTGGGCCCTTTGATAGACTTGGAGGCCGCTTTTCTGGGGGACCTAGCGAGTGCAAGTGCGGCACCTTGTGTACCCTTGTGAACTGACGGAGCTTGAGCTCACCAAAAGGGCTGTACCGTATAATATCATCTCTGACCCCAAAACCTACAGAACCAGGGGGGGCCATGCTAATACGGTACCGGCAGGTGGGGGTATGATACTTCCGGACAACCAAAACCTGCCCTCATCAAAAATTTCTAACTCGCGGATACCGTAGCTGGAGGTGTTTGCGGATCTATGTCAAACAGCCCTCCCAGCGACATGGTTCCGGTCGTTGGTTTCGAATGCATTGAATAGGCAAATTCAAGAGAGGAATTATCAAGTGCTTCTAAGAGGGGTTCTGCACCGTATGATACTCTACCGTACTAGCGGCACAAAACCGCTAGAGGAATTATTTTTCGGGAACCCTGGTAATTCGGTTGGGTCCGGATTTTTCCAAGAACTTTTAGGTGGGTGGTGGGTGGGTTTTGGTTTATCATACCGGCAACTGTTTTAGGCAAAAGTTACCGCAGGGAAATGGAATTCATTCCATCCAACCATTTTCCAGCGATCATGGGCGGGGTTGTTAATTGTGAGCTTGGCTCCGCGGACTGCCGCCGATATGCTGGGACGTTAAAAAAAGAAAGAAAAAAGATGGAAGAGAGGATAAATGCGCTACCGTACCAGTGGGACGTTGTATCATAGTTGCAAAGTACTGTACCTCACCTAGTCAGGCGCTGCGCATATTTATTTTTACAGTATCAGAATAAGTTAGAGCGCCGGCAGCTGTGTTTGTCGCGTTTCCCCATCGCGCACAGTGGGAGTATTGTACTCGAGTATAAGTACTACCGTACAAGTAGTACGCGTACAACACCGCAATAAAGGGGAATCCCGACATCCCAGAAGCAGCACATTTACTCTCTACTGTATTTGTATTTCGTGCGCATAGCACCCTTATATGTGCGAGCACGAATCTTGAGCTCCGTACATTAGCACTCGAGTACCGTACCGTGATGATAGCTATTATGATAGACTACTACTGGTCGGGAGAGAGCAGAAGCACATGTACGAGTACCGCACGGGTCCGGTATGTTACCCACAGTTGTCGAAATGTTCGGAATCACCCCGCATCTGCTAAGCCACGATGCTTGTGGAACGGGTGGGAATAATCCTTGTGGAGTCTGGAGGAGCATTAGTGTGACAGTCTTTGTATAAGTACTCGTACTGTGTTCTCGGGTATGATACATACGGTATTGGAGTAATGGCGTGGCAGCGAGAGAACTTCGGCGTTGAGGGAGGGAGGGGATACTTATCACAGGAGTATCAAGTATAAAATGTGATATGAAGCTAATACGGGTACTATACAGTACTGGGTACGATGCTAGCACCGGTACTGATAATATGCTCTGGGCATTCATGAGTATTATACAAAGGGTACTTGTAGCGATTAACCTTAACTTATGGCTTGGTGCGTTTTCAGAGAGGGTGAATTGGGGGAGCAAGTGTATGTAATTAGGATTGTAGAGTGAGAAGGACATGCTATCGATGAGGAACCGGTATGGTAGTGAAAGTGGATATCATGAGTTCAAAACTCTCGCCACTAGCCTATTCTC